ATTATAGCAGCATGGTGAAGGGCTTCTCCAGGAGCTTCTTGAACTCGGCCAGCCACTGCGCGCCCACCGCTCCGTCCACTACGCGGTGGTCGCAACTCAGCGTCACCGACATCACGCTGGACGTGGCAAACCTGGGCAGGAAAAAGCAAAGGACACTGAGGCTGAAGCCCTGGAAGACCCATCCCAACAGGTCGTTTGCTGGCCATGACCAAGAAGGGAAAAGGGAAAAGAAGGAAGAAAGGACGGAAGGAGAGAAAGAGGGAGAGAGGAAGAAGGGAAGGAAATAGAGGGAAGGAAGAAGGAAGAGACAGAGGGAAGAAGGGAGGGAAAGAAGGTAGGACAGAAGGAAGAAGGGAGAGAAGGAGAGGAAAGGAGGAAGAGAAGGTAGGAAGGAGGGAAGTATGGAAGGAGAGAGGGTCGGAAGGAAGGAGAAAAGGAAGAACCGAGAGGAGGGAGGAAGGAAAAGAAAGAAGGGAGGGAGGGAGGAGATAAGGAAGGGAGGAATGAAGGTGGAGAAGGAAAGATGGAAGGAAGGAGAGAAGGAAGGGAGAGAAGGAGGGGGAAAGGGCAGGAAAGAAGTGAGGGAGGGAAGGAGAGGTGGAAGGCAGGAAAGAAGGGAGAGGCAAGGAAGGAGGGAAGGGAGAGGGGTAAGGTAGGACAGCAGGAAGAAGGGAGAGAAGGAGGAAGTGAGGGAAGGAAGGAAGAGAAGGAAGGAGGGAAGGAAGGAAGGAAGGAGAGGAGGAGGGAGGGAGGGGGAAAGGGAGGGAGGAAGAGGGAGAGGAAGGAAGGAAGGAAGGAGAAGAAAGAAAAGAAGAAAGAAAAAGAAAGAAAGAAGAAAAAAAGAAAAGGAAGGAGGGAGAAGGAAAAGGAGGAAAAGAAGGAGGGAAGGAGGAGAGGAGGAAGGGGAAGGAAGGGAGAGAGCAAGGAAGGAGGGAAGGGAAGAGAGGAAGAAAGAAGGAAGGAGGAAGGAAAGGGAGAAAGAAGGAAGAGAAGAGGAGGGAGAGAAGGAAAAGGAAGGAAGAGGAAGGACAAGAGGAGGGAAGGGAAGGAAGCACTGAAAAACAAATTGTTCAAGAACCTCAGTAAAAAAATAAGCCAGGGGTATCTTGGAAGTTTTCTAAAGAACACTGATTTAAATAACTCACAACTTCCTCTTCACTTAATCACTTCCCTTCTGTCCCTGTTGAATCCACCATCTTGAATCTAAGTTATTCAATTGGGGGGGGGGGGGGGGGACTGTGCTATGAAACAGTGGGTTTGAAGAAGAAGCTCCTGGATGCATAACTGTGAACCAGAAATATATCTCTCAGTGCAGGATCTCAACCAAATGAAGTTTTGTTTTCAAATCAATCCACTGTTTAGGGATGGGTGTAAAACAGAGACCAAACTGTATAGCAACAGCTGTTTAGTTTTCTTCAAAGGGCAGGACTGAGAAGATGAGATCCTGCATTGAGTAAAGGGTTGGACTCAATGGCCCAGGAGGCCACTTCCAACTAAGTCACACAGGCAAAACCATCGTTCACACTGCCAGCAGCAGGGAGTGAATCTGGGTCATTCTCTGTATCAAGCAAGGTGATTCACCCTTGAACTCTATGGCTGATACTATCAGAGGAACCCAGGCTTGACAAAACCAAACATATACTTAAATCCCACAATCCTTCAGTTTGCTCATCTCAAGGGATTGTGTATTTAAGCATTAGTATCTCAAAACTAACTAAAGGGAGAAAGGTGCAAGTTAATGATCAGTGCTGATAGTCGACCTTCTGTGTTTGATGAACTCTGTAATCTCCTTGAAAGAGGATCTAAATGCTAAATACTCACCCCTTTTCATTGTCTGCTGGGACCAACCTCTGCTCGGAGCCCCCGACGGCCAAAATGCAAGCCTGGGGCGGGTTGATGATGGCGGAGAAGTTCTTAATGCCGTACATTCCTAAGTTCGAGACCGTGAAAGTTCCTCCCTGGAAGGAAAGAGGTGTTACGGCAATTCTTTGGCCCTCCCTCAGGCTGGGAGGGGGGGGCAGGAGAGCAGGACGGGGGGAGGAGGAACTAGAGATGGGCCGGGTAGTTCCATGTTCCCTCGCTCACTACACGGCGGAAGGTTCTACGTGTCGATGTCTTTTCATCGCGCTG